TGCCTTTCCCTGTGCAAAGCCCTTTGCAGGCATTAACTCTTCCTATCCTTTCAGCAGCCCTGAAGTGTATAATTATTGGCTTCATTCTATGGACGAAGTAACAGGCTTCCATAATTGTTAAAGAATTAAGGCTTCCATAATGTTAAATAATAGGTCACACAGGGAGATTAAAATCCACAACTTCAGAGTGTAGTCACTGCCCTTAAAATCATTAGCATAGGAGTCTGAGTTCTTGTTCTCCCATTCACTTCTCTGACCACAGGCAAGGTTTCTAATCTCCCAAGACTTCATTTCCTAACACCTGGTTCTCAATACAGAGGGGTTAAATTGAATCTGTAGAATGGGGCTGGCTCTAATTGCTCTCATCTCCTAGGATTGTTTTGAGGGTTGATGGAAAATGTGAAAAGATTTGGAATGCCCTGGGCATGAAACAAATGTGAGCCGCGATACCACTGTTGCCTGCAGTGGGTACACGTTTCTTGTCCCATAAAACGCCTTCCATCAACCAGGGCTCCTTTATGGGAAAAGCAGAGTTTAAATAACACAGCTTCCTTTTCCACAAAATCTTAACGTGGGTATTGATTCTCCTTAAGTCTGAGAGTAGTTACTTTAAACCAAACTTGTCCTGACAAGGATTCACCAAAATGTGGGATGGTGTTTATTTTATACTCATTCTCAGAGGATTCTGTCAGCTCTGCAAGTTATTTTTTTAAAACCTACTTTACACTAATATGAAAAAAGGTAAAGCCTCACAGTGTCACTATTTGACATGAGATCTAAACATGGTTTAGAACATCCTTTCACAGAAATCTAGGCAGGAGATTGGCTTTAAAACTGCACTCTAAGGAACATGACAAATGATAAAACCAGATGTGACATTTCAATTCCACAATCATGCACTATTCAGGTGCATGAGAACGGATGTTTATTCATCTGTACAAGAAGGCACTGACTGTAGTGATGTATAGTAGCTGGCTGATTCATTTGGCTTCATTTTCCCCCTATTGTGTCATTCAGCATCATTAACATTATGTTACTTCTAAAGGCATTCAGATGCTCATTTTTACTTAAAGGTATGCAATCTTGTCAAGTGTATTCAGTAGAAAAAGATATTTTAGAAACTAGTCATTGATAAGCTTGGCCCCAGTTTGTCTGAAATTGCTCACAACTGCTTGCAAATGTATAGTAATCAGTCCTTGTAATTTCTGATTTATAACACACATTGATCCTGGGCAGCTTTAAAGCTTGTTTTCTGTCATTGACATCTTCCCCATGCAACATGGATAAATGCCAGCACAAACGGAACCTCTCAGTTATTCTAGTTTCATAGATTCTAGCATCATCCATAACTCCAAGTGGATTTTGAAGGCATATACAAAAACCCTTTGTGATGTCAAATGCGAAGAAAAGTAGAGAGGTTATAGGGAGGGCTTGGTTTCTCTATTTCTAGAGTTAGATAATATAGGAGCTGTCCAGGTATATAGACCAATTTGTCTTACCCCAGCTCCACCCCTCTAACTTCAAACAGAGCACATTGCCTATCAGGATTTTGAACCCTCTTGCATGATGGTTATGAATTTGGGCCCTGGATTTGGAGAATCTGGGTTCAAGCTCTTTACTCTCTGACTATTAGTGATGGATGTAACCTGGGAGCATTGGGTAACGTCTCCATGATTCCCTTTCCTCATCCATAAATGTGAATAATAACATAAGCTAGGGTTGTAGTGAGAATTAAAACAGATCGACACATAATAGAAAATCAATGCCAGTTAATATTGTTGTTATATCAGCACCTTTCCCATCTTTATCACTTTCCTACATACAGGTATTATTTATGCATGATGTGTAATGTCATATCCTAGACAATTACAGAGTGAAATGAGATCTAATTTTTACATGTGAACTAGCTTAGGATACCCAATTTCTTTAAACTGCTTGATTTAGTTCATGTCAGCATATTATGGTAACCTTGTTGTTTCAGAGTAAGTTTATTTGACTTGGAGAATCCTGAATTACAGAATAAAGGGGAAAGTTGGTGTATTGTTAAAAACAAAGCAACAACAACAAAAAAGAATAGATGGTAACAAGAACAGAGATGCCCAAGTAATGACCAGTCACCATCTTTCTGAATAAATAAGATTGGTTTAAACAAGTGCAATTATTGTTAATGTATGAACAAATCCTTTTCTAGTTTTTCAAAGTTTTCTGAGGTATGAATCACTGTCTTGAGATCTTTCACCTTGCATTTGCTTTCACCTGCTAACTCAAATTAAAGGTGGGTGTAATAGCCCACACTTCCTCCCCCAATCATGGCCACCTCATAGAGGGATTAGAATTGATAAGGTTTACCATTTGCAGCTGCCACGGTGTCATGCTGATCCTCTACACTCATTCTGCCTCTGTGACTCTTAGGACTCAGGCTCATTTTTAAATTAACTTTTATCTGCTAAGTAATGAGCACATCAGTTTTTTAATATCCCCAAAGTTTCATCTAGGAGGCTTTCCTTTTTTATGACTAGAATTATTCTCCTCACTCCTTCCTTTCTTCCACGATGTAATAAAACAAAACCTTCCCAGTGTAGCACACCATTCAGGATTTCATTATATCCTACTTGATGGAGAAGACTGTTTACACAGACATGAAGCAGCATGCATTCACGAGATTATTTCATAGGAGTAGAATGTAGTTTTATATAACAAATTGACCTTTTCCCACTTTATGGGTCAACTAGCTGAGTCAACGTTCACTCTCTGGGAGTCAGGGTATTTCCTCAACCTTTAGAATTCTGTGAGAGTATCCAGAATGGATGAGTGTTGGTTTTATGTGTATCTTTTATGTGTTCCTCTGCACAACATGGGAGGGATGAGCCGAGCAAGATAGGTGGCTCTGTTAAAGATATTTTAAAACCGTTCAGACTGTTAGCTTAAATTTGAAAGGAAAAATAAAAAGAAACCTGTCCAAAGGTTTAAGTTCTGCTGCATTACTGTTCTTTTTCCAGGATAACATATTAAAGTGCTACAATCTGATTTTTTTCTGGTCCCTTTGAACTTGATCACAAAATTCTACAAACAGGGATTTCTCCCAATTACCCTTCAAAATGTGTTTATTTTAGTGTATAGGTCTCTATAATATATACATTAAGTTAAAGATCTGCAGAAATGTTTTACTCACATACTCCCTAAAAGATATTTGAAAAACTGTGTTCCTCCTTATATAAAGTTGACATCTAATTTTGTTTTTATTACAAGTCTAAAAAGTTGCAAAGAATATAATTTCTGGTGTGTTATAAGTAGTGATATTTTAAAAATACGCATTGTATCCATTTAAAAATGAATCTAGTGGCATAGTTACTTGATATTCTCTATCATCAATTTAAAATATTAATGAATAGTTCCTCTTTAACAGTTGGAAATTTTACATGTTCCTTCTGTTCTCTTGAAGTTGTATGTCCATTATACTTCCCTCACACAATTATAGCCAACATAATATTTTTTGTATGGAAAGGCATTTTATCAATAATCTATTATATTTTTTGTAACAAAAATATATATATAAACTTATATTACTTTTTATTTACCAGTGACACTAATGTTTTAAGTACCAAAATTTTCTTTACAAAATCATTGCAAATATTATGAATGCACTGTTGTCTGAAAGAACATAAATGTATCACAAATTTTCATTAATAATTTTAAATTTAAAAAATTAAATTTTTATTAGAAATGTATGGGGCTGTTTTTACTTCAATTAGTTTATATTTTTGGGTAACAGGTATTATTTATGTATAGAATGGGACACGATTCAGCATAAATTCTATTTCCATTTTTCATCTTATAGATGTGTTGATAATACTTGCTCACATAAATGAGTAGATGAGAATGAATGGCATTTTATTATAGCAATGTCATTAATTTCTTTGAATTTCTTCTGAGTTATGTGCCTCAGGTCACCTAGTGGTCTGTCAGCAAAAATTACTTTTTAATAATCTGTCAGCTGATGAGTAGATTAGAATTTTTTTTTATTGAAAAAAAAATTGGAAACCTCCTTATACAAAAGAGTACATTACTCAGGCTTTAAATCGTTCACTTTTGTCAATACCAACACCAATATTTCAAATGATCCTTTCTTTAGTGCCTCAAAACTTTTACATCCTAGCAATGTACCATGTAGTAATATTTGGGGTAAAAAAGAAGGATGCTTTTTTTATATATATATATAATGGGAATAGGTAATTAAGAGATAAGACAACAAGATATTTGTCAATTCAGGGCATTCTCAATAAGATAAATTTCAGGCAAATGTGCATGTAAAGGTTGAAAAATTTAAATGGTATTTCCTTAAAATTATCCATGACCATGTACCCCTCTGAGAATTGTGTCCCTCTAAGTGTGTGTGTTTCTGTTTGTATATGCCGGACTATATTGGTTTCATTCATGTGAGTTCTTGAACTCACATAAGAAAGAAGCAAATGGGGGAGGGTTGGTGGTGGTGGCGGAGGGAGAGAGAGAGAACGAGAGGGAGAGAGAGAGAGAGAGAGAGAGAGAGAACTATTCAGTGATGAAGAACTCCATTTTCATTTTCAAACTAAATAGTTCAATGCCCAGTCTATCATTTATTAAGAGAATACACATTTCAAATAAGCACAAGTCACACTGTGTAAATAACTAGTGAGAAAAATTGATGAGTAACTCCACCATGCTGGAATTATAAATAAATCTGCAGTAAATATCACTACTCTTTCCTTGATCTCATGAGATTTCCAAACATCTATTTCAGAGGAGTTTTTAGCAAGTCTTGTGATGCTTTTCCAAAACAGGGGCACAAAAGGATGACAGACATCATTTTTTGTTTTAGATCGACAAGATTTGGATGAAAATGAATGTGATTTTTCTTTAAAATGCCTCTCCTTAGGGCTTGGGTAACTTCAAAACCCTTCAAGCATTGGAAAAAGAAATTCGAGGGGAAAGAAAAAAGTTATTTCAAAAAGCAAAGCACTTACAATGAGTGGACCCCTGTTGTTCTCCCGATACTTGTTCTGGAAGAAGATGTAAACGACAGTGGCAGCCAAGGAGTAGAGGAAGGCAAAGACGGCCACGGTGACGAAGAACTCCGCTGAAGATGAGGAGTCGCCAATCAGTGCCAGCTTCTCCCGCTCCTTTCCCTCACAGGTAGGCACCTCAAAGGTCACCTGGTGCAACCTAAAGTGCCAGATTTAAGGAAACACTCTTTAAAGTGGTATGGAGAGAAAATGAGATGTCATATGCCTACATGTTCTAAAGCAAAGATTGAAGTGGTTCAGGAGTTTTATGGCACACCTATGTGACAAGTTCATTAACAAAATTACAGATATTATAACTGGAAACCTGGAAGTAAATGTTGCAGTTAAATACCATTCCATTGGATTTCACAATAGCTGTCACTGAAGAGAGGGGAGGAGGGAAGGGCAAGGCACTCGAAATGATGATAAATGAGACTGTGACACCCTCCTGCTTAAATTCTGCAGCGCTTTCTCATCTTAACTTGGACTCAAAACCTAACTCTAAACGTGACCCGCCAGGTCTTACACCATGGTTTTGGCTTAGGGTCTTTTCATTGACGTTCCTTTTTCCCAAATCACTCTGCACCCTAATATTTCCCACGGCTGACTCATTCTTGGCGTTTGGGCATGAGCTCAAATGTCATCTCCTGGCATAGTCTTTTCCTGTCCATTACTCTAAAATGGCTCCTTTCCCTTAGACATTTCTGTCACATCACCCTGGTGAATGTCATTCACAGCACTCATCACCAGCCACACTATCTTGGTAATATATTTAATTATTTGTTTTTTCTGTCCCTTCCATGTCCATGAGGGTCTTCATTTTCTTTTCTGTGTATCCCAGAATCCAGACACTTGTTGGGCATTCACTAAATAGGACTTGGATAAATGAAGGAACATTCTTGAACCTGTAACATGACTGATAGATGCTAATTTGACTGAACTTTTAGGACTTCTATTTTAGACAGTTAAGTTCTTCAGGACAGCATCCAGGCTCAATATATTAACAGAGGAAAATAATATTGGGTTTGGGGGTGGCAATACTTCTGGCTCAATAAATGAAACCTAAGGAAAGTGTGTTCTATTCAGTAGAGTAGTGCAGGTGAGAACTGGGTGGTGAACTGTAATTCAGGACAGGACCGAAAATTCTGCTTCTTTAGAGATGACTAAATTATTCCTTGAGTTTTAGGGAGGCGTGTGGAAATGACATAAATGAGACTTAGCAATATCAGTAAAGAGCCACCAGGAAAATTATCTACAGAAGTAACAATGATGATAAAGCTGATGAATTCCCAATGTATGCTTAAGAAGCATTTTTCTTACTAAGCAAAACTTGGCCCCATTGAACAGATTTGTTTTATATAGTCTCTTACAATTTAGAAATAATATAAAGACAAAATAATAATAACAATAGTAAATAGCAGTTTAAAAAGATTAAGTAATTTGTCCTAAACCACATGGCTAGTAAATTGGGCCCGGGATTTAAATTTGTATCTGAATCCAGGGCTTGATTTTTCAACTTCTGCATTAACATGTTTCTGTTAAATAATGAGGTTATTAAAATAGATGAATGTTTTTTCAAAGTGAAGCCCATGGACTGCTTGCATCAGGATTGTTAGGGGCCATGTTAAAATTATATATTCCAGGCCTTGTCCCAGACCTGCTGAATCGAAATCTCTAGGGGCGTAGCCAAGTTGACAGGCAAAGCAGGAAAGTCCAGTCCCCCTGAGTTCCTTATTTCTCAGAAACTTATTGTTTTTTATTTATTGCTTGACTTAAGAGACAACTGTTTACACAGCCCACTTGATTTTCCTCGTGTTGGTGAGCCTCCTATTTCTTATCAACCAGAACGGTGTATGGCTTCAGTGAAATTCAGGAAAATAAAAGCATTCATCATGATTATATTGTAGAACTCCTTTTATGCCCTTGCAGAGATATTAAAATATTTCTCAATAGTTTGGTCTGTGGGAAGGCTGAAGAATGAAATAGATTTAAAAAGTAATCATGTTAATTATTCTGATACAGGTAATTTTCAGATATTGTACACTTTTTTCTCATTATTTTGTAATGTCATTCATTCAACAAATTTTTAACAAGCAGCTCTGGAGTTTATGCAACAACTAGATGCTGGGGATAGAGTGGAAAACAAAAATGAGATGGGATGGTCACTGCCCATGTTGAACTTCAAGTTTAGAGAGAAAAGATAGATTTTCTGAGAGGAGCCCTACACTAGTCTGGGGGTAGGGTGGTCAAGACAAAATTCCCTCTGGAAGTGATTTTTAAGTTGTAGCTTGAAAATGAGTAGAAATTCTCCAGATGAAAAGTTGGAGAGAAAAAAAGCACAATAAAATGTGACCTCTATCCACTAGAATAGCTATAACCAAAAATATTAAAAGAGTGTAATAACAAGTGTTAGTGAGATTGAATTGGAATAACAAAATAAGATTGGAATAACAAGGTCCAATGGAAAAAAAAATGGGAACTTCTAAACATTGCTGGTAGAAATTTAAATAGTGCAGCCGTTTTGGAAAACAGTCTGGCAGTTTTTCAAATAGTTAAGCATAGAATTATTATATGATCCAGCAATTCTACTTCTAGATACATACTCAACAGAAATGATAACATTTATCTGCACAAAAGCTTACATGAGAATGTTCATAGCAGCAGCACTATTCATCATAGCCAAAAAACAACCCAACATCTGTCAATTGATGAATGGGTAAATAAAATGTGGTCTATCCATAGGATAGAATATTATTTGTCAATAAGAAGGCATGAAGTACTGATCCATGCTACAACATAAATGAACTTTGGGAACCTTATGCTAAGTGAAAGAAGCCATGCAAACAACCACACTTTGTATGATGCCATATATATGAAATATTCAGACAAATTTGAGGAGACAAACATAGGTTAGGGCTGGGGGTGGGGAGGATGGGAGAATTGGGGATGGTCGCTAAGTGTTGGAAAATTTCTTTTGGGGTAATGAAAATGTCCTAGAATTGAGTGTGTTGATGGATGCACAACTCTATGATTATACTACTTAAAGCCATTGAGTTTTATAATGTCAATGAATGAATTGTATGTTACGTGAATTACATCTCAATAAAGCTGTTAAAAAATAGGTAGAAAAGGGTGTGTACCGACGTCTTGCATAGGCAAAGAGCAGAGCACATGGGAAGGGATGAAATAAGGCTTCTGAAACTGGAATATCACACGAAAGGGAATGGGAGCAGGATGAGATGGAGAAGTAGCCAGGAGTTCCCACTGTGGGTTCCAATGGGCCAGGTTATAGATTTGGGCCTTTATCTTAGGACAAACATTGAAAAGATTTTCTTATAATAAACAACATGTAAAACAAAAATAGCAGGCAGAGCCATGTCACCTGCCACCACTATTTAGCTACATACCCACTTGCTTTCCAGGGGCTAGGATGCATTTTAGAATTGGCACGCTTCCAGCATGCTAGCTCCCGCAGGTAACGTGCACAGATTGGATCTGCGATCTTTGTGTGTGGTGGGGGCAGCATGGAGGGGGGAATAAAACAACTGTTTTTTTTCTGTGCGATCTGCTGAGTATCAACATTTTTCATGTTGCTAACTAATTGTGTTGATATACAGTCAATGTTAATTGTGCTTATCTGTCCCAGGCAAAAAAATCATTAACAATTCTGCTGTGCTTATTAATACCATATAGCTTGGAATTTGGACCACCAGCCACACTGGAGTGAAATCGGGAGAAAGAGGGGAAATGGAAGTGAAGCTCTAAGCTAGTGCCTGTTAAGTGGAAGGAAGTAGGAATGAAGAAAAACCATGTCAGTTCAAAAGAGTCTGAGCATAATTATTCATATCACTGAACATTTGAATGCTATATAATGGCATATATTACTAAATATATATATATATATATATATATACACACACACACACACACACACACACACACACACACACATGTATACACAGAGGGTGCCAAAAAATGTATATACATTTTAAGAAAGGAAATGTATATACATTTTAAAAAAGAATTACAATATTAAAATTGTAATTCTGAATTGATACTGATAACAAAAGATGAATACAAGTCATGTGTATACATTTTTTTGGCACCCCGGTATATATATTTACAGAAATGTCCTTTTAAATAGTTACACAGGTATATATAAATATATATCTTACTTTGGAAGAAGAAATTTTATAGTCAGTGTGTGCTTAGCAGCTGTGATAACTTTGGAGCCTAAGGTTCATTTAGAACCTAAACAAGGAAAAAACTGTTCTGTGCAGATAGAGCATGTTAGTTTGTGGAATCCGGAAGCCAACAGGGCCACCTCTGATCTTGTGTGGAACTAGTCAGGAAGAAATTGCTGAGCCTGCAAAAGGGACCAAATCTAATTTGTTGATTTCAAATGTATAATTCCCTGGTTGGCTGGCCTGACTCACTCGAGAGGTAATTGAATGTCATTGGGTTTTACTGCATTGTGTCAATCAATGAAAAGCCTCCATGTTAGAGTAGGTTTTTTTGTTTTTGTTTTTGTTTTTTTAATTTCTTACCAATGCTTAAACACAGCTCTTTAAACATTTTCACTGCTGCTTTAATTAAACTAAAGGAACTGCTTGGCATCCCACAGTTTTTAGTTCTGTTTGTAGGGCCTAGAAAAAGATTAAGCAAGTTGGTGTTTTTTTATTAATAAAAATATGAGAATAACCGCCCACGTTTTTCAACCTCAGGCTTTGTGCTAGGTTCCTTGCCAACTGTTTCTCACTTAGTGACTTTCTTACATAGGTACTATTACTGTCACCATTATACAGGTGAGGAAACTGAGGCTTTGCAGTGCATAGTGAACTTACCTGAGTTCATGTGGCTAGTGGAAGGCAGACATGAGTCTCAAAGGCAAGCAGGTTAGGAGGAGCCCACATTCATAACTACTGCCCATTCCTGCCTCTCCGTTTCAAAAGTTACAGCATCCTAAGATTTCTAGCTGAATGCGTGTATAAACACAACCAAGCTAGCTTTCTCATGCCATCTAATCTAATGACAGACTGACAGTTTATACTAAATATGATTCTAAACCAACATTCATTCTGCTTCTGCCTTGAAGTGTGTGAATTAGGCATTGTACAAGTTACCCAGCAGTGACTGAGCTGAACCCTGTAGAGCAACCAA